GGGGGGCGAGAAATAAATTTAAGCTCGGAGCGTGGTCGTTGGAATCTGAGAGGGAACGCGTGCAAGGGGGATGATATTGTTGTCTTTATCCCTTTTTATAAGTTCACGGTAAAACTTCTGATTGGTCTGAGTTAGTAGTTTCCTATAAAATCATTTCTTCCGCCTCTATTTCCGTCTCACTTCACGTCACTTAAAATTTTTTCAAGAAATACAGTTGTCGAATGAATTGCTGTCATATTTTAGTAATACAATGCCGAAAATAGCCACTTACTTCTGCCTCTTTTTGATACGGATATAAATATAAGTTGGATGTTATCCTCCGTGTTTAGAGTTGTGGCTTTACTTTATGCAATTGGTTGGGGACCGTAGCTGATAACGCACGCGGCTCAAGAAATTGGTGATCGCACCGGCGTTATGCTGTTGTTGTCGTGGTAATAGGGTAAGGAAGAGAAGAAGTTTTATCTTTAAAAGGTGGATAACTAAGTGGATATTAACTCTTCCGATCACCTATTGATTCTAAGTCGTTCAATATTACTCGCGAAAAATGCGTCTCTCAAACTCCACCACAACCGTACGTTTCATTTTTGATGGGAATGTAGATTATTGAAGTAATGCACTGATCGCTAACCTGGCATTTTCGACTAGACTGTCAAATTAAGGCGTTAATTTATTCTCATCTCTTAAATTCCATCTCTTTGTTAAAGGAACCAGACGAGGTGCAGGTGCAAAGAGAGGTAAGCAGGACTGATAAATGAGAAATTCTTTTAAAACCCAAACAAATCAAGGTCTAACTTCCTTGGTGTGCAATACTGTTTGTCTCATTAGAATTATTGTTTCAGGTAGTGAAATGAGACTCTTAATTTTGTTTTCAGAGAGACGGGATTACCACCAGGAAAGAGGTACATGTAAGCTTAAAGAAATCAAGAAACTTTAACTTTTTTTTCATGTAACACCAAGAGAATTGATCCATCGAGCCTTTAGCATGCGAAAACAACAAATGCTTTTAAATTAAATCGATATAGTATCATGATTCTTAGAGTTAGGGAAAATGATGATGAATAATGTCTTTAATCTTATTATGTCATCCTAGAGACGAAAAGAAACGATGAAGAAATTGGTGATGAAGTATCAGTTAAGGGGCCGCTACTTTGAAAAATGTGAGGAAGACAACCTAAGTGGAGATGACACAACGGATGACAAAAAAGGGAAAGCAGGAAAAAAAGAGAGTTCCCAGTTCATTGAGGAAAACATTAAGTTACTTAAACGATTGGTTGATCGTTAGACGAAGGAGCTTGCCAAACTTAATGAGATGATGGACACATAATTTTCACAGCTTTCC